GTGAGATATAGAGATAAGATAGAAATATATACAGACTGAGATAGAACCTAAATTTGGCTATTTATAGATCATAATGTGCGTCGTCAGCGGCGAGTTTTGTTCTTTTTTCGAAAACAATATCTATTCTTAGTCGCTGCTTGTGCGTTAATACCATATTTTTGTAAATACATACTAACATACATTCCCGCTGAGACATAAATTTTATAAAAATTGACCGAATGCCATATGAAAGGCAGCCACATCAAGGTGAGGAGTGGGGGCCAGGAGGTGGCCCACAAAGAATCATTCGGTAAGCACGGCACACAAATACTCATGCGACAGGTACAGTGCGGTTCGAAAAGAATGGGCGATCCTCGCAAGGATCACCTAGGATCACAATTTCAAATTGAAATTTTAGAAATATATTCCAGACATTACAAACCAGTAAAAATTGTTGCAATCATATGAATTAATGGTAAGACCTGAATACCTTTTCAATTAAAGAACTTTTAAGAATTTCACAACTGGTGAAAAAATTCTCGAATTTTTATTGTATTGCGCAGTTGTGGGTTGATTTAATAATTCCTATCTTACCGATTGAAGTTCGTATAAATACGTTCAATTTCCCCAAACGATTTTTAAATAGAGGGTCTATTTTTGAACAGTTTCCACTGTGAAATTTATTTATTACCTCCATCTAATTATATCACACATATATTTGGAAGAACGCCAACTATTGAATGGCCTTTAGAATAAATCAATTAACTATTAATAAAAAAAAATGCGACTACTTTATGTATGTGCAGTGTTAGGAAAGTGAAAGCTGTATAAACCCTTAGACTTTTTCAACTTAAAGAACGTCGCTTGATTTCGCCTTACAGTCGCGAAACGCACCGCACATATATGCAAACAAAGTCATACATTCGTGTGGACAATTGGATTAATCGCAGATCCGCAGATAAAACGACAATATATCTTGTTATGCAGTTTATATTTTATACATAGATAATTTTTGTTGGTTTTCGTCTGTGTGTTTTTGTATCTCGCATGTAATTGATAACGCTTGGGTACAATTATGTTAAAAAGTAATTACAATTGATTTAGAACGGGGCCAGCACCGCAGATATGCGCCTGCCGACATATATATATGTATACTGAACTTGTATGTTTACATACGTCTGTAGATCATAACTATTCATTAATTTTAACCATTATATATTATTTTTACTCTTTTAGCTTTAGTTTAACTTTTACTTTTACTTTGCTTGTGTGCTTTTTTGTTTTCGTGTTTTGTGTTCTTTTCAAGTTTTGGATTTTGTTTGTTTTTCGTTTACTGGGACATAAACGTCGAGGAGGCTAATCTTCATCTTAAGGAAAACATTTTCTATATCAATATAATAATAATATTAGGTAATAAAAAAAAAATAAACAATTACATACACATTTAGCGTAATATTAGAGGGGCCTTTGAAGGACATGGGGGGTGGGGGGGGTATAGAGAGGAGAAATGCAAACAAACGCAATCACAATGAAACATTCTTCGGGCGGAGAACGGGACCGACCTCAGAGTCTGACCCCTACTCCAGTTTCATCGCCAGGCCGGGCGGCGGCGGCGCCTCCAGCTGTTCGAGGAAGAGCTCCTCCAGCGGCCGGTCGCTGGTGATGCGGAAGAGGAACAGGTGGTCCTGGCACTTCAGGCTGATCGATCGCAGCGCGGGCAGGCGCAGCAACAGTTGCGCGAAGCGTCCATCATCGCCCGGATGCTCCAGGCGACAGTGCTCGTCCAGGCAGGCGTACACCTTTTCGCGGCACATCTCGATCTCCGCTCGGTTTTTGATCCCGCGTATGTCCGGATTGTACAGTATGATCGCCTTCAGGCAGGCCAGCTCGCGTCGGTCCAGACTCAGTCGCTTCATCTTAACGCTCAGTTCGGACAGGATGCGATCGAAGATGGCCGACACGCCGGCCTTGATCGCACTGTTGCGATGGTACGAGAAGCTCTGGTTAAGGAACAGCTGCTGTGGCTGCAGCCCCGGCGAACGCCGCTCGAAGGAGCCGTCGTGGCCGAGGCCACCGCCACCGCCACCTCCGGCACCGCCGTCATCCAGCGACACGATGCTGCACCAGGCCACGTTCGCGATGAGAAGCTCAATCCAGGCGGCCTTCAGCAGGATCACCTGGTCGTCGAGCGGCACCTGGGCAAAATGCGGCATCATGCGCGCGTATTCGACCATCTGGAAGAGCTGCTTGTTGACCACCTGGCACAATGCGGACACGGCGCCCTTGTAGTCCGGCTGCACTGTGGAATAGGGGCCGACGCGCAGGAAGGTCAGCGCCCGATCACCGCTCTGGGTCTCCGCGCGCTGTTCAGCCTCCAGGATCCGCTCGATCGAGAAGTCCCTGGACACGCTGTTGGTCGTGTAGTCCTCGGAGCCATTGCCGCTGCCCAAGCCGCCGGATCCTCCACCCAGTCCACCTCCTCCTCCTCCACCGCCAGAACTGGAGCCGCCCACCGAGCCTGGACCGCTGCTGCCGCCACCGCTGGCGCTCAGCCTGCCCGCATTGCGGGCGCCGCGTTGACGCTCCTCCTGGACCGCCTCGCGCTTCATGCCGCAAGTGAGGCACTTCTGGTATCGGCAGTACTGGCAGCGGTTCCTCTGCCGCTTATCGATGATGCAGTTGCGGTTCTCGCGGCACGCGTATGTGAGATCCTTGCGCACCGTGCGCTTGAAGAAACCCTTGCAGCCCTCGCAGCTATACACGCCGTAGTGCTTGCCGCTGGCCCGGTCCCCGCAGATGGAGCACAGGTGCTTGCTGCCGCTCAGCGGATGGTTCGGCGGATACTGCTGCTGTTGGACGGCAGCGGCGGCGGCTGCTGCGGCCGAATTGGGCGCCTGCGCCATCTGGGCGTCCCCGCCGCTGTTGTTGTTATTGGAGCTGGCGGAGTTGGAGCCGGGCAGCACATGGACCATGGACATGGCCTGCATGAAGGGCCCTGGACTCTCGGCCTTGGGCGAGAAGCTGCTGTTGTTGCTGTCATTCAACTGCGAGATGTCCGGCTTGACCTCCTCCTTGATGTGGCTCAGCCGGAAGCTTGCGTCCTGGTCGCAGTTGTCCATCCTGTGGATGTTGTGGTGCTTTCTAGTGGATAGGATACTGGGGCAGCTCTGCCTCCTCCTTCTCCTCCTCCTCGCGGTTTCTCTTTTCCTAGTTCTCTTCGTGTGTGTGTGTGTGTCTTCGCTCGCTTTCGCCTCTCTCTTGGGGTTTCACTTTGCCAACGCCACCGTGTCCGTCCGTTCGTCCGTCCGCTTTTTCGTCCGTGGGGCCAAGTGGAGCAGCTCGCTTCGCTTGCAGATTCGTTGCCGCTGAGGCCGTTGCTGCATTTACATAATCTTGGGCCGCTTGAGCCGCGCACTTTTCACGCTCGCCGCCAAACAATTGCGCTTTTTACCAACAAACAAAGAATGCCAGACTTTCTGACTAATGGATTAAAACCTTTTTTCGCGTCGACATTTTTTCTCAACAAAGACAATCTCACCACGGCGGCCCAACTCACCATCGTAGAGATGGGCCGTGACACAGGTTGCGCAGTCACGAGTCACGGTCACGACTCGTTGCCACTGTGATAAGATAAGACAAAGCTAGCTGAGATGCCAATTGGAATTGAGTCGGGCCTATAAAGAATAATAATATCTACAAACCTGATAATCTAACCAGTCGGGTAAAATTGAGTCCATTAAATACATTTGACACTGCTAACATTCTGCCATTTAAAACGAAAACATTCGTGACTTGCGACTTGCTCATCTCTAATTCACCACACAGCGGACAGGGTTGTCCCCCTACCAACACAAAGCGATTACAGTGGGCGTTTGTGGCCCAATTAAGGCGCTAATGGGCATCGCAATTAATTGCCTCAGCTTTGTTGGCCAGCGAACAATGACGGTAACATATCAATCAATCGAGTTTGAAAACATTAGAGGCGACAGCTCTGGCAGCGCCATTCCACAACTCACCTCACGAATGCAACACTGCGTCTGTCTGGCTCCCCACACCCCTGCCCCGCACACCCTCCCCACCACCCACACGATGCCACAGTGCAAATAATTTTGCGCCGCTGCAATTATGTGGAAATGCGAGAAGGAAACGTGAATGTGCGCCAGTTTCACCGCTGCCGGCGGCAGCCTCGACCTCAAATCGCAATCGAGCGGTCTGCCCACTGAGCTGGAAGCGCTGGAAGCCAATAGCAAACCAAACCAAAGGCGTCCGGAATCCGAATCCGAATTAGGCGAAATGCAAATGCAACTTACTTGCAGCCAGGGGCTTTGGATGCGCCGCAAAGTGACGCTCTTGCGCTCACGGTTGTTTATTTACTTTTCTCCGTTGGCGTTGGCTATCGGTTATCAGTGCTTGCGAGCACACACATACACGGGCGCGGACACGGACACACGACGCTGATTTAATTTGTTGCAATCTTTATTGTAATTGTAGTAATTGAGTCCATCATCACAAAGAGACGCGGTAATTGGCATTCGCAGCGAGTGCGCGCAAGAAGAAGCATTTCGCGAAACAACAGCTGACGCGTGGTGAGAAAGTCTGCTCGCGTGGGGGCGGGGAAATGGTTTGGCCGTGGTGAGCATGGCGAAGAAGAAGAAGAGGCACTGCGTAAACAGAATAGAGGTTGGTGTCTCCGCTATCTCAGGAAGATGTACTCGCTACGTGTGGTGAGTTTGGCTTTGAAAGGGGGTTGTGAGCTCGGCTAGAGGCTTAAACTGCGCGCCAAACTCGGGGTGAATGGCAAATCGGTCTAATTTTTTCCGGGGACTTCCCATTTCTAATAATTTCTTGACATTTAGTTTTTTATATGATAATCAAATCACCCCCATATTTATACCGAACGGTAAATTGAACTTATAGATTTGGTAGTTAAATTTTGTTAGGTGTTCCCTTAACTTTTCTTATAACTTTTAAATAAGGGTTCCCACGATTTTGGTGTCTATAAATGCAAATTTTAAAACTAGTTTTTTCTTATCATTTTATTTAGTTTACTATATATTGTTAGGATATATTTACTAGCTTTCTCCCTGTCTCTAACGTTATTATGCGAATTATAGCATATGAATTGGCTCTATTGTTCTTTCGCCTCTTTTGTTTACATCAGCCTTCTGAGTCTTGCTTATCTGTATCTGTCCCAATAGTGTTTGAGGCTTGGGTTCGATCGGCTGTCGCCTGGGTATGCGATAACCAATGTTTACAGCGGACCTCTTGTTTGTTTGTGGGCAGTGGCTATGCCGCTTTTAATCAACATCCGAATCCAATTCTCCTTGCAACCCGCTGAGCTGGGAATTGCGGAGGGTGAGTGCTCCGATCCGCTCGTTTAGATATTCGATCTCATCCTGGTACACCCCCGTCTCGTAGAGCAGATTTTCGTACTCCCTCATAATTCCCGCATATTCGCTGGTACTGCTGGCGGTGCTGTTGCTGCTGCTGTTGTTGCCGCTGCTGTTGTTGCTGCTGCTGCTGCGCCTGCTGTCGCTGTGACCTTGGCTCCGATTTCGCCCGCTCCCACTCTCGATGCCACCCTGCGGCGATCGGCTTTCAGGCGCCACCTCAAAGTCCAGAAAAAGCTGAAAGTATCTGGGATCTTCGCGGCGGCAAATGGGGCAAGTTTTTGATCTGCAAAAAGGATGGTGATAAATGTATGTATGTGTGTAAGTTTGAACCATTTCCGATTTCATTGTAAACAATTCGCTAAAAGATCACTCAATGTCTCCGATAAAAGTTTAATCTATGGGGATTTCCCCAAAACAAAGAGCCATAACGAATTCGTTCCGATAAGCTTTGTTTTATATCATCCTAAAATGGAAAGTTGAATATGTACTCTGATATGCTTCTATATCTGTTTATAATGTATAAATTTGGATTTTCGCATTGGCTTTGGCAAGATCACTTCGGAATAGGGATCACTTACTGCTCCCGCCAGCGGTCCAGGCACTCCTCGTGGAAGGCGTGCCCACAGAAGCCGGCGAATATGTTGTCCGAGGCGCGATACCGCTCCGAACAGATTGTGCAGATCACGTTGTTATAGCTCATTCCGATCCAATTTTCGCTAATTTGATTCGATCCGATCCGTGTTACTGCTCGGCCGGTGGAAGCGGACTGAATGCAACTCGCTGGAACGAGCGTTTTGCTGATAAGCCTACACTCACTTTACTGTCCACCCCTCGGCGTCACTCCCACCCCCCACATTCCCGTACTCCCGCTTTCCTGCTGAGCAGTGCCAGCCCACCTTTACGTACCGCCCCATAAAAGCGGGAAATATGAGCCGATGAATTGGGTCAGCGAGGGCCTACGCCCAGCTTATACTTATAAATATAAATGTATATGTATGGATACAAAGCTATATACTCGTATATAACTTAAGACAAAAATAAATTGAATGAACAAGTTCAATAAATTGGCATTCAAAGCTAGAAAATTTTGATTTTTTCGCAAAAAAAAAATCTGAATCTCGTATTTTTGACAAAAATTTAAACCCTTTTTTTCGCCATAAAAATTCCGTTTTTTGGCTGCCATAACAAAAATATAAGTCAGAATGAGGAATGTCATACCTCGTCGAGCTCGTCGTTTAATTTCCAATAAATTGGCATTCAAAGCTAGAAAATTTTGATTTTTGCTATTTTTCGCAAAAATAAGTGATGTAACCCCTTACAAAAAATGCAAAAATTGGTCAAAAAATAAATTTTCCTTAAAGTGATGAGAATCGTTAGCATATTTAGCAAGCTGTTCAGAACAGCCGGTCTTTTAGCTGTACGCCTTGATTTGGCTGAACTACGATGGAAAAACCGAAAAGAAATGTCGCATTTTTGACAAAAATCTGAATCTCGTATTTTTGACAAAAATTTAAACCCTTTTTTCGTCATAAAAATTCCGTTTTTTGGCTGCCATAACAAAAATATAAGTCAGAATGAGGAATGTCATACCTCGTCGAGCTCGACGTTTAATTTCCAATAATTTGGCATTCAAAGCTAAAAAATTTTGATTTTTGCCATTTTTCGCAAAAATAAGTGATGTAACCCTTACAAAAAATGCAAAAATTGGTCAAAAAATAAATTTTCCTTAAAGTGATGAGAATAGTTAGAATATTTAGCAAGCTGTTCAGAACAGTCGGTCTTTTAGCTGTACGCCTTGATTTGGCTGAACTACGATGGAAAAACCGAAAAAAAATGTCGCATTTTTGACAAAAATCTGAATCTCGTATTTTTGACAAAAATTGGAACCCTTTTTTTGCCATAAAAATTCCGTTTTTTGGCTGCCATAACAAAAATATAAGTCAGAATGAGGAATGTCATACCTCGTCGAGCTCGACGTTTAATTTCCAATAATTTGGCATTCAAAGCTAGAAAATTTTGATTTTTGCCATTTTTCGCAAAAATAAGTGATGTAACCCTTACAAAAAATGCAAAAATTGGTCAAAAAATAAATTTTCCTTAAAGTGATGAGAATCGTTAGCATATTTAGCAAGCTGTTCAGAACAGTCGGTCTTTTAGCTGTACGCCTTGATTTGGCTGAACTACGATGGAAAAACCGAAAAAAAATGTCGCATTTTTGACAAAAATCTGAATCTCGTATTTTTGACAAAAATTGGAACCCTTTTTTTGCCATAAAAATTCCGTTTTTTGGCTGCCATAACAAAAATATAAGTCAGAATGAGGAATGTCATACCTCGTCGAGCTCGACGTTTAATTTCCAATAATTTGGCATTCAAAGCTAGAAAATTTTGATTTTTGCCATTTTTCGCAAAAAAAAAAATGATGTAACCCCTTACAAAAAATGCAAATACTGGTCAAAAAATAAGTTTTCCTAAAAGTGACGAGAATCGTTAGCATATTTAGCAAGCTGTTCAGAACAGTCGGTCTTTTAGCTGTACGCCTTGATTTGACTGAACTACGATGGAAAAACCGAAAAAAAATGTCGCATTCTCGACAAAAATCTGAATCTCGTATTTTTGACAAAAATTTGAACCCTTTTTTTCGCCATAAAAATTCCGTTTTTTGGCTGCCATAACAAAAATAGAAGTCAGAATGAGGAATGTCATACCTCGTCGAGCTCGTCGTTTAATTTCCAATAAATTGGCATTCAAAGCTAGAAAATTTTGATTTTTGCCATTTTTCGCAAAAATAAGTTAAACAAAAAATGCGAAAATGGGTCAAAAAATAAATTTTCCTAAAAGTGATGAGGATCGTTAGCATATTTAGCAAGCTGTTCAGAACAGTCGGTCTTTTAGCTGTACGCCTTGATTTGGCTGAACTACGATGGAAAAACCGAAAAAAAATGTCGCATCTTTGACAAAAATCTGAATCTCGTATTTTTGACAAAAATTTAAACCCTTTTTTCGCCATAAAAATTCCGTTTTTTGGCTGCCATAACAAAAATATAAGTCAGAATGAGGAATGTCATACCTCGTCGAGCTTGTCGTTTAATTTCCAATAAATTAGCATTCAAAGCTGGAAAATTTTGATTTTTGCCATCTTTCGCAAAAATAAGTGATGTAACCCCTTACAAAAAATGAAAAAATTGGTCAAAAAATAAATTTTCCTTAAAGTGATGAAAATCGTTAGCATATTTAGCAAGCTGTTCAGAACAGTCGGTCTTTTAGCTGTACGCCTTGATTTGGCTGAACTACGATGGAAAAACCGAAAAAAAATGTCGCATTTTTGACAAAAATCTGAATTTCGTATTTTTGACAAAAATGTAAACCCTTTTTTTGCCATAAAAATTCAATACCAATTAAACTGCGGTAATAATACATGTGTTGTTTATTTATGTAATCATTTATGTTTATATTCATATTCGATTTGCTTCTATCGTCTTTCGAATGGAGTGCTCGTGGTGGACTAACAATAGGTTCATTTACAAAGGCCTACGTTGGAATGGAATGTGTACGATGAAAATAGTGAACAAAATTAAAGGAAAGACTTCGTGTTCAAGTAGAAGAATAGTAGTATAGGTATTTTAGATTAGATAGAAAGGGGTTAATACTAAGCGTGAGCGACCATAAATATCTAAAATCTATAACTATTACTAATTAGTGTCAGGTGTAATGGGATTTCGAAAAGGTGATTGATCCAGGGTGTAGTAAAGTGACATTGGCTGGAATAACAAAATAAAATTTGTTGTGTACTTCTAGAATAGTTATTCTGAAAAAAACGTAGATTTAGTGGAGTTCGATCTTCCAAAGTTTGAATTTAATGGTCGAAGATAATATTCCTACGGTCAGGTTTTACTGTTTATAATTGGGTGTCTCCGTTTGCCCTTGCTTGGTATACAATAAAGTTTGAAATAAGAAATACAGCAGAATCTAAGAGGGTGACCTATGGCACAATTCAATCAACGCCTACTTTTCGCTATTTGGCAAATACTAAGTATTAAATTACAATATCTATAGAACAAATTGCTTACAATATGGGAAATGCGATATTGAACTATAACACCATCTGGGGTTCGGGGTTTTGGGAAGAAGCCTAAGCTTTTTTCGAAAAGGGAACAAACGATTTACGATATTCGCCACCCATTTACGATATACCGATCTATAATGCCTGGCATATTGTTTTGTTTATAACGAAAGTAGCACAATAACTACGTCTTTTTTGTTTTGTTTGGTTTTTGGAATTAAAGCATTTCGTTAGTCTTTTGGAAATTTCATCTTGGCCGTCAGCTTGGAGCCGGAAATGGAGACGGCTGCGGATGTGTTGGCCTGACCGGAGCTACTATCCGGTGCAGCCGCGTTTGTATTACGCTCCGCGTAGGATTGGTTTCTCTTCGGGCTGTCCACGTTCATGTAGATGTGCGGCTTCGCCGGGTTGCTCCCCGCTGCCACTGCTCCTCCTCCGCTGGCTGTTGACGAGGACGACATCATGGAGAGCGGATGGGTTGGGGCTGATGGCGGGGGAGGAGCCGGCGTTGTGGGCGCCGAGGTAGCTGGGGTCGCCGGCGGCGGTGTGGGTGGCAGCTCCTCCTCCTCCAGTATTATATCGTCGCCCACCATCGTTATGCGCCTGATCGAGGCCGCTCCGCTCCCCAGAGAGCCAACTCCGGGCCGGTAAATGGAGCTGCTGCTGATCCCCAGACCGCTGCTGGAGCCGGGGGGACTGGTGCTGCTGCTGCTGCTGCCGTTGAAGCCGCTGTTGGTGTAGGAGTGATTGTTCTTCTTGAGCGGCAGTCGCAGGTTGAGGCTGTTGTTGCTTCCGTTGGGCGTCGCCGTAAGGACTGAGGGCGGCGGAGGCGTAGCGGCCGGCAGCGGGAGGTTCGACTTGCTGATCAGATCCGGTGGTGCTCTTGATAGCATCTCCAAGGCCTGGGCTGGCTGGCTTTCCCGCGTTGGACTCTGCACCGTTGGCGTTCCCGCTGACGATGGAGTTCCCGTTCCCGTTGCCGCTCCCGCTCCCGTTCCCGTTCCCGTTCCCGTACCCCCCGACATCTGGGATACGATGGTGCGGCTGTGGTTGTTGCTCAACCCGGTATCTTTCCATTTCTCTGAAACGAAGAATGACCGTGACTTAGTGCATGTGGTTCGGCGAGTGGCGCCCGTGGTGGCACGTACCTGCAGCGCTGCTGGCGCCGCCATTGGCCTTCCCGAAGGGCAGGAGGAGGCGAGCCGGCTGGCAGAAGACCACCGTCTTGTAGGCCTTGCGATACTGCTTGTTCATGATCACATAGATAATCGGATTGATGCAGGCCGAGAGGTAGAGCAGGATGTAGCTGCAGATGTGCAGGCTGGGGTGCTCCACATTCTTGTCGGCCACCTTGACAATGGTGATGGGCAAGTAGCAGATGACGAAGGACAGGAAGATGGCCAGCACCATTTTGGTGATGCGCCACTCGTTCCGCTTGGCCCGCACCTCTCGCTGATCCTTGACCCGGGTCGGCTGCTGTTTGCCACTGGGCGCCGTCTCGGGCACATCGACGGAGAAGCTGCTGCTGCTGTCCGAGGAGACGCGATTGCTCGGCTGGCACTCTGCCACCGAGGGCAGGGCTCCCGATCCCGTGCTGGCCAAGGGACGCAGGTTGTTGGGTATGGAGTTCTGCTTGGTGGCATGCCGCTTCAGACGCTGCTCCGACTTGTGGACCACCCAAAAGATCTTGGCATAGCAGGCGAT